TTAGCAAATAATGAACGGTGTGGAGGCCCTTGGGACGACATGCATAACACATGTCCAAGTTGGTGTTTCCAGATGACTCCACTTATTAAATGATGATTTTCATCATGCCCAAACATACTCTGTCTTGCCTCAGAACTACCTACATGGTGTTGCCACCGGATACGAGCAATCCTACAGAGACAACGATGATCGAACACAGAGTCGTCGCATATCCTCAGCTCGGAGAGGACAAGTTTCACAGTAGAGCAGAAGTGCTGTAAGCTCGACATTTTACGGTCAGACTAACGTTGCGACGCGCTAAAAGTGGCCCAGACTGACATATGCCACTTTGGCTTTCGATATGCGGTTGGAAATTTCACCACACATCCCCACCAACACTCACATAACTACCCAAATACACGAACTTTTCGACCACTTCCAACGGCTCACCACCAAGGGTGAGTGCAGGCACAAGCTCCTGCCAATCTTGCATAAGTACTTTGCACTTTGACGGTGGAAAATACATACCACACTTACGGACAATCACCACCAACTGATTAGATGCGACTTGAATAGCCTGTGTTGTTGCACCGTAAGATTATATCGTTCGGATATTCAAGGTCAGATAGCCGTTTTCCAGGTAGTAGATCTACACCACCATCACGCAATTCCTTCAGAGCTGTCTCAAGAATGTCATCGATGGCAAGGTTACAGAGAAATGGATATATCGGGCAACGCTGCCAAACCCACACTGCTGGTTTGGAACAATGGGGACCTCACTCTACCTGAGGTGTTGTTATATAAGGATTTCAAGATGTCAATAAATTTCTTGGGCATGTGTACCTATCCAACAGACAATTCGAAGTACAGCTGTATCCAGCGAATCGAAGAGCGGCAATAATGTCAAAAAACACAATCAATACGTCTGGCGGTGTTTAAGCATTTGGTGGAGGGTGAACACATGAACAATGCATTCGAAACCTGAATGAAAGCCAGCCTGCTTTTCATGAATCATTTTCTCATGCTTTTCGCAGTCTGGAAAATATGGTGGCAGCCAATATTTTCGACGTTACTGGTAACAGACTATTATCCCGATAATTGTCACATACCTTACGTAGAATCTTTTTAAAGATAGGCAAAATGGTGGCTTCATTCTAGAATGATGGAACACTTTCAGTCTATTATACCTTCGCAAATAGTCTAGTCAGGGAACTGACTAGAGTCATTCCTCTATCCTTAAAAGCCTTAATCTAACTCGGATTGGGACTTAGCTGCAACTAATTTGCTTGCATCGACCTGTTTATGACAGTTTTGATAACCAACAAAACCCAAGACAAGCTTAGCACACACTAAAGCATGATCAGAATGCAGACAAGTAGTCTATATGAAGCACCAGTCCTGTATACACCCACGCCATCTGTAGCTGAATGCAATATAATCCATTCTAGTCATGTTGAGTGGTAAAGAGAATACGCCAAGTAGTACAAGGGTGATAGCTAGGCCGAAAGTTGGTGCTAGCTAGAAGCAGGTTACAGTCCGCGCAAAGCTGCAGAAAACGATCCCCGCTATCCGAACTGCTGCCAACTAGTCCCCACTGGGCACCTAAACGACCCTCCTCTGGGTCTGGACGTCCGGCCTGCACATTCAAGTCCCAAGCTGGCACTGCGATATCTGTCAAGCGCACTTGATTGAGGTCACTCAGTGGATGATAGAATTCATCCTTGGTTGCAATTCGTCGGAGCATAGGGAGGGGGTGACTAAGAGACATCGTTTTTCTTCCCGGTTACTTCTTACTCGAGATGAGCCTTCTACCTTAACAACACAAAGACGATGGGGATCCAGCCGAGTAGTGCAGCTTTGACTCGAGTGCTTAGTGTGATACCAACACTAGCAACGCCAGTTACCGATGCCGCAGGGTCTCCGGACAAGCACACATGAAATATACTTTCGAGCTGACAGATGCAGGACTTATTCAAAGCACTTCACTAGGATCTTGCATGACGGTCTTTGAGATGCAGTGTACATCAAAAGCGAGACTTTCCAGAATCCTAGTCAAACCCACCTGGTGTTTGATCTGCATCAAGGTGAGAATGTTGACGGTGTAGAGCCTAAACAGTACGTACGGCTTCAGGATAGCTGTGTCAAATGGCGAACTGGAGGACAGCTTTTATGGGGCAATTGTTTAGTGACTCAAAACGGTACACACAGACCAGAAGTCTAAATGATGGAGAGCAGCTGAGTGAGGTGAAGATAAAGAAAAAAGCGAGAAAGGGTTTTAATGAAAAAATACAATTCATATGTAAAAACAGTATAATCGCAATAGACTGAACAATCGATTATAGAGTTTGTAGTGTGGAGAGCTTGAACACTCGCAGGAAAGTTGCTTCGAAATCTTCATTTTATACTGTATATTCATATTATGTGAGGGCTGGGATACTGCCCGGGCGCCCAGACCGAAGCAGATGCTTATCTTATCTTAGGCGACCACTCTCCGAACTTTTTATATGAAGTCTAATTCACAAGGCAGTGGAGTAACATCAAAAACTGCATTCCGATGGTTGTTGGTATCCAAAACAGGTTCATACGTCATTCGCTCCATCTGAAACCTAGAGCCCATGGACATCATTGGTTTGAAATCAAAGTTTCCAACTCTGCTAGATGGACCCACAGTGCCAACCAATCCGGTGATAGGCGCCAGACATTCGCTTCCCCCCTTTCACTTTTGTTGACACACTCCAACCACGTGAAGGTAGTGAATATGACTTCTCTGGTAGAGGCTGTGAACGCATATCAGAGCATTACGGGGACCAAGAACTGGCAACAGCTGACAAAGTCTCTTACTGTTGGCCTAATTTGTGTAGGGAGATGTAGACTGCATGGTTAGAATCACCGAGACGAAAGGAATCAGTGGTTGAGGACTCTTGAGGATATGGCTGAAAATCGTTCACAATGGGATAGACGTATTCTCTCCTTGACGTCTTCAAAGGCTTGAATAATTGCACGAACCGTTATCTTCAAATTGTTCATTCTCTAATATAACTTCGTCTACTTTGATATCACTCTTTTCCTATCGAACAGTCCTTTGTGTACTACTGTAAAGTGTGGAAACGTGAACCGATGCATTTGTGTGCGAAGTTCCATGTTAATTCTATCAGTCAGTTGAGGACGTCTATGTCTGCACCTGAATCGACTAGAAGACAGTTCTTAGCACAGCTCGATGATGAGAAACCTGCTAGATAAACATGACAACGTCGCTCGTCCGTCTTCAGTCTGCCGTGAAAGAAGCACTAAATACTGTAAATGACCGTCAGAAAAAGGTAGAATGGTGCAGTGGATCTCAGCAGCATTTCTGCAACCAAAAGCATAAGTATAAGTGAATTTTCGCTTGTTGAAACATGAGGGGAAGAAACTTAAATGCAGTTTGCGCAATGACCTCAAATAGTGGTGGGCGGCACATGGCACACCTGAAAAGGGAGTGGTTATAGGCAACATAAGACAGCTATTTAGGTTTATCAAGGAAACTGAGTCAAAATCGTTTATTGTTATTGAAGGCATAGTGAAGAAGTATGGATCTGCGATCAAAACGCAAGAGAGACGGCTAGAATTATGGATGGAATACTTCAAGAAACAGTCCAACTGGTTTCCAGATACTATAATGACGCCCACTATCCAGTTGGATGCTGAATGGAACACGGAGGTAGGGTCTCCAAAACTAATCGAGCCGGAAAACTGTAAGTAATCCGATACGAGGAAGAGTAGATGTGGTAGTATCGGAGGTATTTAAGGACGGCGGTCGTGGATTAATGTTGGAAGGAAGTCATTTATTGCATTGATTTGTCACTGGAGAGCAACCAGTCTCACGTTGTCTAGTCCTGAGTGATGACCGAATTCTATCGATCATTTTGTAATGTGACCACCAAACTAGGAGGCTCGCCATCGCGATGTACTTTGATGGATGTTGCAGATACGCCTTGCTGACGACTGCCAACCATCACGAAACCTAGGTGCGGGGTTTCCTGTCGATCGCCTTCAACCAACTAACATCCATAGAAGTCATTTTTACTAATGACAGTAGAGACTCACAGTATTCTCTTCACAGGAAACGTTGGTACTATAGTAAAAACAGTCATGAGGAAAGTCAAATCTTATAGTAACTACGTGTAGTCGCCAATCCCGCTGACTGATGCATAAGGTGTACAATGAATTGACTGGAGAGTTAAGAACACTTTGCGCTGAATATTATAAGCATCGTGTTCCTATTGGTATCTAATATTCTTGACACTGGTTCTATCAAGCACCACCACTACAACAACTATTAAATATCATGAGACAAACAGTTTTTACTGAGTAAATATCAAAACAATATTTGTCCTCACCTATATTAGTTCAACCCCACTGGAGTAATTCATTAATTACGTCAGTGTTTTACCAGTTTCTCTCTTTGCTTAAATGAACTGGTGAAAATGAAAGTATGAAGAACTATAACAACTTGGCAGAAGTATCTCAGATGATGGATGAATTGAGGTAAGCTATTTACAGAATATGCTGTATGCCGCAATAGTTGTCTTAACCAACAAAAGGCCATCAATCCATTTCATTTTTAGATGCTAATGACATTCGAAAAACTGATTACATCGCCCTCGTTAGATAACAGCCTGTCAGTCGTGATTTGAGTTGCAGTTCATTAGTTTAGGGAGATGACTTTCAGGCACTGGTGACGAGTTGCAGTCCCGCTCCACTTACCGTGGTTTGCACAGCCAGGTAGTATCACTACTCTTCATACAACAGATGTAGTTCATTGTGTACTGCACGAATGTGAACAAGGTTGCTGAGTGCATTTGGATTTTCCGGTTGTGATTCATGCAACAACCTAAACAGATGGTTGAAAACTTTTGTCGAATCAGTGTTCAAAGTATATCAGTAAACTGTAATATCGTATTCTCCACTTCCTACATCTCTTTCCATTCTACAATTTTTTTTACAAATGCTATTTTGATTCTTTTTTATCTTTCGCTTTGTTGGTTTACGTCAACATTGAATTCCAAACTAACACTGGATGATGAACGATAAAGACGATAAAAAAGATTTCTAAAGAGGAGGAAGCTGAGAATATTAGTGTTTTCTTGAGTTAAGTGGCAAAACAGGACAGAGTGTTCAATATAAAATGAGTTTGTAGTGAGAATGTCTACACAATTGTTTGGAAAACAAAATCGGTATATTTCTCGACAATATTCGATGAACAGTTACACTAAATATATTAACAAAATACTTTTTATCTGATAAAATATGACAAAAAATGTATTAAAACAAGAGACATGTGAATTCTAAGAAAGACTCAGTTGTGATGAGATTATTCATAAGATCTAGTATTGAAGAGAATGATGTCAGTTGAGATAAATAAAAAATCCACAAAGTGGATGTGAATTTCACAATTCGACCTGTTCACCAATAAATAATACCTTCATTTATAAAGTTACACGCTTTTAGGCAAAAGGCTTCAGAACTAGTGAGACAGAATTCAGCTTTCAAATGAAAATGTGTCAGGAAAAAAACATGAAGTCAAACGGAAAAAAGGGAAAATAAAACGACCTGAAAATTACACAGCTTTGGTGACATTAGCACCAACAATTCGACGGATAATATCAATGAAACGTGGATCACCCATGACATTTACATGTTCAGCTCCAGGTATAATATAATATTTCACTCCAGGCCAGCGTTTACACACTTCTAAACTACGTATACTTACAGTTCCATCACCGTTTCCAGGGATTAATGTTGGCACTTGATCTGGAAAAGCACCATGAAAGATACTGGGCGGAGAATAAATCATTTTATCAGTAGTGCTTAAATTTGATCCATGAATGCAATAAATGTCATCTATATCGACTGGTTTTTCAAATGCATCAATTATAGGTTTACTATCCAACATCATTTGATACCCTTAGACATCAGAGAAATATAACAATGAAAAGCAGTGTATTAAAATTAATTAGATCTATGCAAAGTGAAAACAAAATTTTTTTAATGCAATAACTCCTGACTCCAGCAAAAAAGAATATTGTTTATTAGTTCACGAAAATAATATTCATCGACTGAAGTTCTTGACCTATATATAATTTTAGCATAACCTTTTAAAATTTATGGCTAGCCATCACAACCTTGAGAACTCCTTCTCCTCCTGGGTTTATTGAAAAGGGCTTAATTATAATCTTGAAAATAATAAAGAATTAAAGTTGAGTATAACCATGCTGAAAGAATATATATATATATATATATATATATATATATATATATATATATGTAGCTATATATGGCCGGACTCCTAAACTATAGGGTCTTTCGGCTCCTCGAACACAGAAAGACGATTTGCTGTCAAGTCGAACATGTACAAAAAGTAACGGTTTATATACATTTCTTGGTGACCTTAGTAAGTTCCACACTTCTCCAGAAAGTTCTTAAGTCAACCTGAGTCTTGCATGTATGGTCGCGCGATTTTTCGCGAACGTTCGGCATAACATGATTGGCGTTGAAGGCTTTCCAGGAAATTCCAGGCTTCTTTGAGGAATCTAGAAGATAGTGTCGCACTTCATAACAAAACCAAACCACAGAATAAGTTTATAGTAAGTATACAGTAAAGCAATGGTACTTTATTGACTGGAATGAGAAAGATGAAGCTATTTTAGTTTATGATTCGATAACCGATAACCAGCAAGGTCAAAAGAATATGTACCTGCAGCTATAATGAAAACGTAACAATAAAAACTTTCATTAAGAGGTAGGTGAATTGGTCAATGCATTCCATTTTACCATACCCTATCTTTAAACAAAGAGTCCTGGCAAATAATTAATGCAGCAACATCTTACACGTGCCAAGCTCAAAATGTATGTCGTGCATACTCATGTTGTCTTCAAAACTTTGAATAGATTATGTATTAAGTTGATATCTACACCTAACATGAATAATACCTACTCATTCTACATCAACACTGCACCAGACCATGGAGTCGCCCTGAGCCGCGTAAGGGACTGTAGACTTCCTTGTTGAGTCCGTGTGACAACACAAACCGTTGATTAAGACTTTATGGCTGAGAACCGATCTCAATAACACAGATGTATCCCCACATAATCTTCATGTTAATCATCATAACAGAATCCATTATTTTGTTCCTTCTTGTTTTATTCTTATGACTTCCCACCACTACTTTCTTCTTTATTTCTCTAAATTCATCTTGGTGTGTTCTCGCTTAATGTGTTTGTAAGTTGGGCCACTATGCAGTAATGTCAGGTTGCATATTAACTGTGACTAAATGAAGTCAACCAGATGTCCTTCAATTAGTAAGCTGATCGCTAATTAACAGGTTCCAATGTTCACAGCCATCAGTGGACCTATGCGTTAAATAACAAAGTTGAGAATGGGTGTCAATAGCAGCTACCATCAGTTGCTATCAAAGTCAACAACTTTTCATATAAATTAACAAAGCTACACTAACTAATAGAGAGCTCTGGTTAGCGCATACTTGCTCAGTGATATTTTTGCGGTAGACGTTATCGAAATATATTCCAAACCAGCAAATAAAGCATCGCCTACTGCCATGTATCAGTAAAAAACATTGTGTTACAGAGCCTATTGAAGAAGGGATACTTTACTAATGGAGATATGGTAGATTGGATTACGGAAACGACTTACAGACAGTGGACCCCGGATTTCAATCCTGCTCCACTTCGACCATGAAAATCAGGTAGTTCCATAAGGCCTGACAAAACAACCGGGGCTCACGGACTGGTAAACAATCACGTACCGCGTTGAGTTACTTTTTTCAATGGAACCTTGTAAAGACGGGAAAACCGCCTAGTTTTCTTACGGATTTTCTCTCTAGTTAGATGTCGATGGACTTTAGGTTAGTCAAACTTATCTATGGCTATCACAGTGAGATTTCTTTCTATGCTTATAAACTAGGATGATTCCCACACGGTATCTAGTACGCAAATTATTCAAATCAGTAACTCCTGTTCACCATACTAAAAGATTATTGAAAACAAACTATTAGGTTTTGTCGCTTCATCTCATTTCAGATTTAAAGCGACTCTCAGTGAAACTTACAGGACCAATATTTATGTTACATTTAAGCAGGATCTAGGTGATGGGATAACTGAACTGAGACTGTAGACCAGGAGAAATGTTTATCAGAATGACTCAGTCGTCCGTCCTGATCTGTTATTAGAGATACAACTCTTCCACTCAGACTGAATAATCCTCGGCACACCACAGTAAACTGTAGCACAAGGTAGTCAACTCAATTGTTGACATGAAGTTTAGTCTATGCCTTTAAGATATCTTTTTCGACAGCCTCATTTTCCTTACTTGAGTATTGAAGTCTCTAACAAGTATGACTTTATTTTAAAGTTTCGCTTTGTGGATCTTTATGTAGACAGCCTTCGGTCAAACTCATAATTTACATCGTTCAAAATGAAGTAACTGAACGCGTAGGTAGAGACCATTAAGGGGTATCGTTGTTTTTCAAGATCCAGCATAGTTCGTATACATCTGAACAACAGTGGAGCTGTGGTTCCTCAGCAAATTAAGACACCACTTGCGACCGGTGAACTATGTGTCAGAAGCCCGCTTCACCTACCGAGGTCTGAACAGAATCCTCAGTACTCACACAATAGGTGCGGCTCATTGCCTGCTGTATGAATTTGCAAATGGTCTCTGAATGCATTTCGTCGCTCGTTACTGAACAACGCACAGATGTCTACTGAGTAGTGTGCAGTCGAAGTGTACCTTCTACACCTATACCAGCTAGCTCACGTGAAACAGCTATCGAATATCCTGATACTTGAGGTGAATTTTATGGGTTCATCGTACTGACTAGGTAAATGATAACAAATAGGTCATGCACACGTGTCTTAAGAACATAGACTCGAGAGTTCACAGTTTCGACCAGTGATCTATTTCAGATTTGATAAAGCATTTAGAAGTTAGAAGTTCCCATTTGATTTTAAGAGACTGGAAATAGTATTTCCTCTGAGGAAATTAGCAGTGGTTACAGGATAAGACTATGACGAAACTACAAGGAGATTGATCTTGGAAATGGGAGCAGCTATTCAAAGCAAGGTAAAGGACAAACAGATTAAAACAGAACGAGGCAGAGAAGAAAACCGGTTTCGGTTGCTAAATTTCACAATCCCATTCTAACAAGAAGTGGATTAAAACGAATACTTAATTTTCGTAAGAAAACCTACAGAAACAGCTGTTGTACTGCTTAATAAGATGAGAGGAAGTGTGGAAAACCCAGAAATACACGATTTTTGTGACAAAATAAGAAATTTCCAAGACCTGGCTGGCATCACTGTGCAGAAGTAGGAATAAGTTACAAGAGAGAAAGTGTGTGTGCACTTCCTATCCGTAATCAACTTTATTTGTTTCAATATTTTCGTGGAGTCAACATATCCGAATGAAATGCAACACTAAACTAGCAACTCATTCATTCGATGCTATCTTTCAAAGGAGAGCAAGTGTGGAGTTTGATGTGAACAAAGTTACCCAAATCAGTACACTGTTTATGATCTTCCTTGATATCATGATAGTTGAAGAGAAGCAATAAAAACAGAGAACACTCCGATAAATACAAAACATTCTTATTTGAATCCATTCAAATGAAAACTTATGATTTAGATTAGTGTTGATAACTCTAAACATGTGTAAAGTGAGAGTTTGTTATCTTTTGAATCTGGGACACAAGCACACTGGTTCTAGTGGCCATACTTCACAACAGCTAGCAAAGAGGAAATGGATGAATGATAATTAATGTAAAAAAGTGTTTTAAAAGCCAGAGGAATACTGAATGAAGGTTAGTGAGAATGTTTAAGAGTTTGAAGAGCATATTTAATGGCACCATTACGGTCGACTTCGATCCAGATCAACAAGAGTTTTAACTCATTGATTCCTGTTATCTCGAGGACCGCAGGTAGACAGTGTGTATGACTGCAACCAAGTCGTAAGACATCATGGACTAGTGATATATCTAGGTCTGCTTCTTTCAACTTACTCCTACTGCGGGCAATATTGTGCATCCATGTAGGTAATGACTCTACATGTATGATATGTTTGAAGTCATTTTAGTCGGTGGAGTTTCAAAACCTCATCGTATGACTTGCCTTCCACACCCATTATTCTGCGTTTAACTTCGAGATTTTTCAAATGGTGATCACGCATTAAGCGAGCAGTGCTATGAGGAAACTTGTGACCTTTTCGAATGACCTACTTTCACCGACAATGTCTCCAAATGGTAGAATACGACAGAGATTAGTGAGCAGTATGTTCGTCCTTTAACTGGTGATTGGACATTTTGCAAATGCTATGAACAGAGATAGTTGGTCAGTGATAAACAGGGCGTTTTGTATCCAAGACGGGATTTCATTATCAACAAAAGCACTCCAAATCTAAGTGATGAAGAATATTTCTAGCTCAGGAGGATGATTTTGATGATATTCTATTCACTGAGGTGGATGGTTTAATCGTGAAGCCTTCGCTGTCATTCTCGACAATGTCATGAACACAAACTTCAGAAAGAGCTGAGCTATGCGCGTTTTTCCCACAAGGGGCTTAATAGATTGTCCTGATGGCCTTGTGTGTGATTGTTGTTTCTGTCAAAATCTTGACATTGCCTCCATATTTACATTCATTGGCTGTCCTGCTGACGTGAACTTCGACCTTCTTGTTGTTTCTTATTGGTTGATAGATTGGGTCAATGTCAATATGTCTGTTGGTCACTGACTAACCTGGATACCAAGCCTCTAAAGATTCTCCGGCATTACTTGTATCCCCTCTATCCAGGATTTCCACGTTTTCCCAGTCGAATTCATGTCCATAGTTGTCCGTGTGTCTTGAAATGAGAGAGGACATGTCATGACGCTTCACTACTGCTAGTTTATGTTCATGTAGAATGATATGAAAAAGGCGACCACACTGTCCGTTAAAGTATTTATCGCAGTTTCTGCAGATTATTTCGTAGATAACGTTCGGTTTTGAGTTGGTTTTATCACACGAATAAAACCCTCAACTACAGTAGAAACGACGCAACAACACAAAATTAGTTGCATGAAAATATTGTTAAAATGAGCAAAGACTCACTGTAGTACACTAACCTTGCATATAAAAGAAGAAAATTTTTTAGTGACTTTTCCAGATAAACTACTATCTAAGTAATTTCATCGAAAGATGTAGGCCTAATTCGTCGTCAACCAAGAAGTCATGCTCGGAAACCAAAACGCGAATACTCCTGCTTGATATGAAGAACGTCTTCGAGATCACGGCTAGATTATTATTGAAGCCTCTCGGAATCGCTATGGCTCACAAGCCCACAAAATCTCCTCACTCTCTGTTATGCAGGCCAAAAAATGCAACAGCAAAAGAAGACAACCGAATGTTATCTACGAAATAATCTGCAGAAACTGCGATAAATACTTTAACGGACAGTGTGGTCGCCTTTTTCATATCATTCTACATGAACATAAACTAGCAGTAGTGAAGCGTCATGACATATCCTCTCTCATTTCAAGACACACGGACAACTATGGACATGAATTCGACTGGGAAAACGTGGAAATCCTGGATAGAGGGGATACAAGTAATGCCGGAGAATCTTTAGAGGCTTGGTATCCAGGTTAGTCAGTGACCAACAGACATATTGACATTGACCCAATCTATCAACCAATAAGAAACAACAAGAAGGTCGAAGTTCACGTCAGCAGGACAGCCAATGAATGTAAATATGGAGGCAATGTCAAGATTTTGACAGAAACAACCAATCACACACAAGGCCATCAGGACAATCTATTAAGCCCCTTGTGGGAAAAACGCGCATAGCTCAGCTCTTTCTGAAGTTTGTGTTCATGACATTGTCGAGAATGACAGCGAAGGCTTCACGATCAAACCATCCATCCCAGTGAATACAATACCACTAAAACTTCGCGAGTAAATGAAACGGTCGACTTACCCTGGCATTTCAGTGCCGTTATTTGAACTAGGAGTTTGTGAACAGCAAACGTGCAACATCATTGTAAGTTTGACGAGTGCAAAAAGCGTGGCAAAATTGGGGTGAGGTAATTTTTTTATCGGGCTATACTTAGATATTTTTAATAGCCAGTTCAAGTTTGAGTGAAGTACACCCATGGCTTGAATATGCTTATAGTAATAGTGTGTGTGTGTGTTTTAATATAGCAATAATTACAGACTAAGTGTTAATATCACAATGACGAATAAATCGAATGTAAATTTACTGACTTACCGACTGAGTAATTGATATCACGAAAGAAAACGTTCATAGTCATGAGCAGAATAGTTTGCTGTGGGCGTAACAATAAGAGGCTCGGAGGATGACCACAGACGAGAATCCGGTAAAAGGAAGCAAGAGAAGGTAATGTCCGCTGAACCGGGCGAAAACTCAGTGGACTGCGTATAAACATCCCGAAGTTATCTCCTACAAAAGATGCAAGTAAACTGATATAGTATTTGTCATACATCAGTTTTACTGACCAGGGTATCCTGAAATGAGTCAATTTTACCCCGCATTTGTCAAAAAGCTGAAAAAGATGGTCCCTCACCAGTTAACTACAAGTTGCAGCGAAGAATACGAAATACTTCAAGGCCGAGGATCAGAATGCATTTAGCAACCATAAGCACGTTCATGCAGTAGTCAGTAAGCCTCAATTATTGTGTGAAGGCTAATGGCACTACCTAGTCGCCCACACCTAAATAGGTGGAGTAGGGTTCGAACATATGAAATACTAATTGAGTCAACTGCTTAAACCAATGAGCCACATGAATGGCAGACACATTGTCCCCTCCACTTATTTCACATCACTTGTAGGATGAGGTGATGCAAGTTAATTGTGTCCTTCTTACTGACATGAAGGATAACTTCAGCAACTTAGTTTTCTTGTCTAAAAAAGTTGCTTTGTGGTCCAAGCAAAAACTCATAACACTGCAAGGACATCGACAATGAAAAATCAGTCATCCCGCGTTAAAAACGTTTAACGACCGTGTCTGTGTCATCCACTGATGGAGTAATACAAGGTGAGCTGCTGTGTAATGGACTTGGCCTTTGATAAGCAGTCGTATATTTTACCGGCAATGTAGATAGAGTAAGTTGGTAAATGTCGGATAAGTCTTTTGTCCCGCTGTCAACACTCCGTCAATAACTAGGCGAATAGGAATGATACAACTTCATGTGAAGCAGTAGACGTGCTCAACTATTTCACTTTCAATCCTTTCAACAGGTGTTAATGCGAATTAACTCCGCAGCATTACCTTAGATTTGACACATCAGAAATGCATGTCACATACACACACACACACACACACACAGTGAATCTTTTTTGCAAGATATTGAGATAATCCAGCAACTTATTTATTTTCCATGAAATTAACGCAGCCTGGTTATCAAGAAATATATAACGCTATGTATATTCCTACAGAAGCGATAAACAAAAGTGACCAGATGAGGAAAAGCTTTCATTACTTTTATATTACTTTTGGAAAGTAGAAGATACAGTATAATTAAAAACGATTTAAAGTCATATGGATTACATGAGCTCCTAAACGCTATTTCGGGAGTCCTGATGCCAGGACACACTATAACCCAACACATCTTCCATCTCAGATCGCCATTTTTTAAACTAATTATCAGGATTTCCAAAAGAACTTCGAAGCAAGTAATCGACATGCGGTAATTTTTCATTACCAAAAATGTTTGGTCCTATTTCTAGAGGTTTTTTAGAGCAGGAATATAACTCTGAGTGACCCCCAATAAAAGGTCAGAAAAAGTTGGCTATTCTTGGCAGCTTCTTCAAAATAAATGCATCGAAACAGGTTAAAGGCATAATGCAGTGGAAACACAAAACATGTAGACTGATAATTGGTCAACGCGATAAGCATGAGCGGTAGTTGGCAGAGATGCAGCAGTGTTGGTAATAGATATTCGTTTTGATTAATGAAAGGGATTGGGGTGATTGAGCCTATAGTAAGTGGAACTTAAATGGGTGAATCAGTTTCAGAGATGATACGGATGACCGGTGTCATTAAAATGATTTGGTAAACTATGTGCATCGAGAGAAAGAATATGGGAAATAATTTAGCAACGTTATGAAGATACAGAAAACAGAAGGCAGAATGCATACCAAAACAGAAGTAGGTTATTCAGGAAGCAGCCTCAAAGATGCATTCAATGCAGCATTCACAACTTTCGCTTTACATTCGAGAAATGAAACAAACAGGAAACGCTTGTTTCCTCGATGTATTACCAAACTGAAAACGTCTGTTGTATAATGGTAGGACAAGAGCAGCCACCCTTATGTTGTTGTTTACTACGCGATGATACGGACTCAGAAACGAATCGTACTGCTGTTAGGCACATGACATTCTACCCCGCAGCATACCATTGCCGGTGATATAGGTTCACAGCCGGCTTTAAAACTGACAAACCTAAATCTTAAACTTCTGGAAAGGCTGTGTGACCGACCTCAAGCAGATGTCCTTTGGGCTCTAAAATCATGCACTAGACTTTTTTTTTCCAGTACCTCAGGAAAAAATAGCCTTTCATAAGATGAGTAACCAGGAGGTGTCAGCCGCACTCACAACTCTGCCAGCACTCAAGTTCCCCAAGATCTCTCTGTGCACTTTTCATATCCTTAACTTCTAGTTTTCCTTTACATTCCCCGGTTAGCATTCCTGCATCATCTTCAGTTTGTTCTAGCTTTGCAGCTCTTGAAAACTATCTGAGTTCAGGGAAGAGAATCCCTGGTCTCCTGAAACTGTGCTCCAAACTAAACATTGAGACTACCAATGTCCACACGCTTCATTAAATTGACTAACAAGCCACAACTCTAGCACCATGGGCGACAGATATGTGCTATTTTCCTAAGACACACGCAGGATCCAGGTGCTGTTATTCACTTAACCTCACCCGGCCAATATGATGAATCTTCGAAATTCACCACTCAAATTTCTGGGGATCCGATGACTAGTTCTCACAGTCTGGTAGGTGTAGGTACCGCATTAAGTGCTAAGGCAGATAGTGAACTACTCCATTGGATCCCAGTTGAAATTCGCTCTTATCTCTTTGTAATTTCTGTTTACGCACCCACTGATTGCAGTTCCGAAGTGAAGGATGACTTCCACCGAAAACCGTCTAGCCTTCTACTGAAGGCAAACGTTCAAGCATGGTTGTTGCTGGATGGTAGGCTGTCATGTAGAAAGGCACTGGGGTGACAGACTGGATTCCGCTGTAATGAAGAAAAGACAGTCAGCTTTGTACGACTGAATGGTCATTCAATATGACTGTTAAAAGTAGAAATAAATAGGTTTTAGGTTGCAATTTTAAGTGTCTGAGTGACATTCCTAGCTTATGATAGGCTTACGGTAGGAGCAGTGGGGGGGGGAAGTTAGGTGGAGGGCACTACACAAGGAAGGTAAGTTAATCCATGAGATTAGCGATCTCTCCCAAATAAGGTAATTTAAACATGTGTTGTACATGCCAAACCACCACCTACCTCGAAATGAAATGTTCACTTAAATAGGACTGGACTGGAAGAAGGCTCATAGTAATCGAACAAAGATATGGGACCAGTATATGAAGTCTCTGACTCCTGGTCGGAACAGTGTAGGGAGACGCAGCGTACCTGGCTAGGGTGCTCGATATGATAGTAATCAATAGTTGACGATTCCCGATGAAATAACTATAAATTGTACACAATGACAAATGTATTCAGTCATTGTCATCTTTTTAGGTCTGAGCATTTTTACTGAACTTCATTTATTTTTCTGACCTGTTATACAACTCTGCCTACTTTAACATCGCTCTTTTTCTATCCCGTCTTTCTCCATGCTACTGTGGCAACTTGAACTGATGCACTTGTACCACGTTCTACGTGTATTTGTTGCGGTCTAGTGAGGGGAAATAGACTGTTTAAATTACAAATAACTATCTGGATTGGAAGTAATCGACTTTGTGGGAAACAATATTCCGGGTTGTGGTTAATTGGTTTAGGGAGTCGACTTTCAAAACAGTGGGTTACGGGTTCGAACACAGCTCAACCTACTGACGTTTGGGTAGCCAGATAGTATCATTAGCCTTCACACATTAGGTGTGGCTCACTGCCAACTGTATGAATGTACACAAGGTCGCTGAATGGATAGTAATAACAGCTTACAATATATTAATAAAGACTTCATTCCAATAGACAGAAATAATTTATAACAACTAGTACAAACCTTGGCCACTAACCTAGAACTTGCAATCGAGTGCAAATTTTAAAATATCCAAGGAATTCTTAGAATTGTGTTTAGGAATTGCGACGTTAGTTTGCCGAGAGAGATAATATGCGTCTATGACTGGACCCAATGTTATCAGAACTTGGTTTTGTTTAAATAAATAATGAGTTAAGTCACGTTAGGAAAAATTTTAGAAGTCATCGGTTCATATGGTCAAATGACTGACTTTCATCAGAGTAACAAGATTTCATCACTCTTTTCAATACCACGACACATTTACAAACCTCATACCAACATGTATTCCGAGAAGCGATGAGGATATCAAATTGATAGGCAAGATCATCTCAAGAAATTTTCGACAATCAAGGTGAGAGTTACTTTCGATATCAAGTTGTGAATCAATGACTTCTATTTGGAACCTCATAATATTGGCCTATTTTATAGTTCTGATTTATAAATAATTTGAGCGAACTCTACCTAATGCAGATTTTCATCAAGTGACTGCAATGATGTAGATATTCCGTTTATTTTGGCTCACAACTATATCAATCAAACACCAAATTTTGAGATGTTTGGTTATAGTGTACACATGTTGTCGCCTAATTCTGTTTCAGGAGTAAGTTATATTTACTATTTTATTTCCCACTAGTTTCATGTGCTCTTCGTTTAGAAATTTCGAGCGAACCTCATCTGTGAAAAACGTTACCAAGTAAATAACACTTGGATGACCATTAGATTTTGGTATTTCATACTTCGGTAGTTTAAATCTGCCGATTGTTGTTCAAAAGCAGTGAAGCCATACCAGCTTCAGTTGTCGAACTGGTATAAGTATACAGTCATACCTTTGATCGAACTTTGGTTAACATTATACACTTTTTTGATACTCTCTTCACAACCAGACACTGTCACAACACTTTACAGTCGACCAAGTAAAATGAAAAGTTGAAGTCAAGAAATATGGCAAGTGTAAGCCATTAGTCAGTAGGTATGAATGTGTTGCAGAACCTGTCAGAGAGTAAAAGTGTGATCGATGCACTCTTATTCAGTCCGAAACTTGCCTGATTTTCTCGAGTTTGCTGTTCTCCAGCTCCAACTATGGACTCTGAGATCTTGGACACAATTTAGTCAAACTAATTATCCTATGGTTGTCACAAGAGGATTTCTCTCTCTTTTTGTAAACTGGGATGATCGGTTAAGTAGACCAGTCTG